CTCCTGCTCGAGCGGCTTCTTTTTGTGTCCACCTCTCTGTCACTTACTTCCTCCCCACTGTGAGCGCTCTGGGTCCCCCTCTGCTCCTTGTCTCCTGGGATGAGGGCCCGGCTGGGTCACCGAGACCCTCTCATCTCTTGTTCCTCAATATCCTTGCTGGCCCCGATGGGCCAGCTGGGTCTCTTTGTCCCGAAAGGAAGTCCTGACGTTGGGTTCTGAGTGTCCTCCTTGGACCCCTCGCTCCCTCCTGCTCTCCTGGATGCCTGAGCCACTGTCCCCCCCGAGACCCCGGAGGCTGGGTCTCTTCCTGCCCGCCAGAACCCCACAGGCGTGGAATAGCTTGGGGCAGCTCCTCCCTCTGGCACACCTCTGTGTGCACCCCGAGATTCCTGGTGTATTCCATTTTTATCACCGTGGCAGAGTACCTGAGGTGGGCTGACTTTATAAGAAAAGAGGGCTAGCTTGTCGGGCTCTCCCAGCCCAGCCTCTGTCCCACCCAGCCTGGGGCTCCTGAGGAAGCTGACCAGACCCCAGAACCATGTACATTTCCAGGCTGCTGCAAGCACTCAGGCAACCCCACAATCCTGCCCACAGCCTTCTTGGAGGATTCAATGTGTGCTGACGTCTGGGGTTTGCTCCAAGACGCCCTGGTCCCTGTGGACTTCTCTCCGGAATCCCCACTGGGGGCCAAGCTCGCTCACCATGTGGCTGTGCGCTGCAGTCCCCGGGGGCCCTGTGAGTCTCTGGGCCACCTCCTGCCCCTGCCGCAGGTGTCACCATGCCTGTGACAGTCTCATCTCATTCCTGTGGCCACCCTCGTGGTAGGGAGGCCCAGTGATTAAGGACACTGGGACTCAGAAAGGTTCACACCTTGCCAAACAGCAGTGCGGGAGAGAACAGGAGCCAGGGCTGGCCCAGCCCGCACGCCCCCCAAACAGTTCCGTTAGCCCAGGGCTAGGCAGGTGCTGGGCTGGGTGGCATCTGGACGGGCGCAGGTGGGATGGGGGCGGGAACGGGTGGATAGGTGGGTAAACCCGCAGGTGGGTGCTTGCGAGGTGTGTAAGCGGGAGTGTAGGAGCCTGGGTGACGGTGGTGTAAGCACACAGACACCGAGGTAGGCAGAGGACGGTCGACGGAGATGGCAGGCAGATGCGGAGAGGAAGGCAAGTAGGTGCTCACAAGAAGTCTCTCCACCAGCATTTATGCAACTGAGTGTGGTGTTAATGGGCTGTCAGTGGTGCCTGGAGTCATTTGAAAGTGCTGGTGGGAGACAGGCCATTTGGTTTGGAGATAAAGGGAAAGAGTTTACAGGAAGTGGCATTCTGGGAGATACGGGCTAGGCCTGACCTAGGCAGGGCAAGGAAAGTGCTTGGGGCTCCCAAAAAGTGCTTGGGACTCTCAGAAAGTGCTTGGGGCTCCCAAAAAGTGCTTGAGTTTCTCAGAAAGGGTTTGGGGCTCTCAGAAAGTGGTTGGGGCTCCTAAAAAGTGCTTGGGACTCTCAGAAAGTGCTTGGGGCTCCCAAAAAGTGCTTGGGACTCTCAGAAAGTGCTTGGGGTTCCCAAAAAGTGCTTGGGTCTCTCAGAAAGGGTTTGGGGCTCTCAGAAAGGGCTTGGGGTTGCCACTGTGAATGAAGCATAATTAGAGATTTTGAACCCCTGAAATAAACATCTAAACAGAGAGTGAACAAGATAAAATGGGGCAACTTAGCAAGGGGGATCCCCGGGCCCAGGGGCAGAGGCGGGTGCCATGCGCCCTCGGGGCCTGCATGACAGGGAGAGGATGACACGGGAGGTGGGAGCGAGACCGGCCAGACCCCGTCTCTGCCCTTCACCGGAGTGGTCCCCTGTGTGTCACCGTGAGGAACTGTTACGGCCCTGGCAGAGCGGGGAACAGGCCGAAGCTGCCACCCTCCGGGTGACAAGCGGCTGCAGTCTGTGCCCGTCTGGATCCCGGCGTCCATCCACAGGTTCGGCTTCCTCTGGCTCTGGGCTTGTGATCTCCGGGCTTCTGTCCCTCTAACCGGGCTGACGTGTGGCATCTTCACGCTACCCCTCTACAAGGACAGGGCTGCATGTGGGATTTGAAGGAGGTGCCTGGGTAGGAAGGGTGGCAGGGTTGTCACGGTCAAAGGCTCGGAGCTCTGGAGTAACCGTCCTGGGTAACGCAGCCCCCACAGCCGCGGCCACCACCTTCACCCACAGCAGTCAGGGAGTGGCCGAGCTGTGGCCCCTTCGTGGATTCGATCTACTTCAAGACACACAGAGCAGGCGGGCCATGCTGGGCCCATCAGACTCCTGAGGCTCCTATTTCTAAGTCTCCAGGTTCAGATCTCCGTCTTGAAAGCCTCCCCGACTTGAGCCCGGCTGGGGTGCTGTGAGTCTGTTGGCATTTGGGGCTTTGACCAGCTCACAGTGGCCGCGGGCTCTGGGGTCACCTCAATCTGTGGCTGGGGAGGCGCGGGGACCCTGTGTGAGTTCATTTGCAGTGGAGTTGGGGTGGGGCAGGAAGGAGTTCCCACCATCCCACAGCCACGAGGGGTGCAAAGGGTGGTTTTCAAAGCCTTCTCCGGAGGAGGAGAAAGGCCGGGATTTTAAGGGCTCAGAGCAAGACAACCCTCACTGCTGCTATTACTTTCTTTTGGTTAAAAAACAAAAAAATTTCCCTCTCCGACTTTGAAGGCAGCTAGTGTTTCTTTCTTTCTTAGAGGAAAAAAAATCAAAGCCTTACCAACCGCTTCTTTTTGACGTGGAGAAGGTTCCCCGCTCCTCCTCGCTCCTTGGGAATACAGGTCTGCCGTCTCACAGGACTCGCACCCGGCCCGGGCTGCTTTTACTACAGGACGCAGAGGCAGGCAGGCCTTCAGGCCGCAGGGGGCACCGGCCGAGCTGAGGGGAGGAGGTGGCCAGGGCCCGGACAGGAGCCCCCTGCGCAGCACCCGCACTGTCCACGCTCTCTGCTCCCATCCGTGACAGCAGGCCAGGCCAGCGCCCGGCATCCTGCTCCCCCGCAGCCCTGCCTGTCCCGTCTGCTGTGTGCAGTGACCGGGAGGTCTGTCCCCTTGCAGGCTAACGGTGTGCCCGAAAGGACCAGCGAGCCCTTGACCTGTGATCCCTGCTGCCCTCCACCTGCCCAGGCCTCTCAGGACAGGGCTGCGGTCCCCTGACTCAAAACAATTACACAGCCAGCTTGCTGGGTCCTGGAGGACACCATGTCGTTCTGTGGGGCTCCCCAGCTGAGCACAGCCTGACCTCAACCCTCATCTGAACTGGTGGAATAGTCGGTCCAGGGGGCCTCGTGGTCACCACACTGCTGTGAGCTGCAGGTAACCGACGCTACCGTCTGGCACTATGTGGATGGACAGTGAACACTTCCCAGCTCCGTGACGGGTACCTTGGACGCATGTTCCCAGCGATGTCCCCTTGCGACCCGACCTCCTGTCTGTCCAGCCTTGGGCTGCAGCTTCTGATCTCAGAGAGCAGGTCGGGGCGGGGGGGCGGGCTCCGTCCATGTGAAGCAGAGGGGCAGGACTGGGAGGACCCAGGCAAGAAGTGGGGATGGTGGCCCCTCATGCACACACACTGACACACATCTATGCTCAGACCCTCATGGACAGACACAATGATGTGTGCACACACAGACACGTGTGCACACACTTGTGGGCACATTCACACACATGTACTCTCCTACACGTGCTCATCTTTCATGTATACATACACGCTTGTGTGTACACACACATGTATGCATGTGCACAAGTGCTTTCCTGCGTGTTCACTCACACGTGTCACACTGTGCTCACGCATGTCCACACACAGGCACGCACACTTGTAAGCCACATGGTCCTTCATGTCTGACTGAGGGTTCCTGCTCCCATCCCAGAGTGCATCTCCCCAGGCTCAGCTCCAGGGAGTCACAGAGGGCAGTGATTCTGCCCGCAGGACGTTGCTGCCGCCTCTATGCTGGACTTGGGTGTTTGGTGGCCGTCCTGCAGGGCTTCATCACCTTTTAAACCCAAGGCTCAGGCAGAACCAGCTTTATGAGAGCAAAGAGCCAGCAGCCTGCGGATGATTAAAGGGAGGCCCTGGGGAGCCCGGCCCAGCCTGCAGGAGGGCTTTGTTTCTCTTTCTCCCTGCATCTGGATCTTGCAGTGACCGTGCAGGGTGGCCGTGCAGGCCGCTTTGGGAGATGAGACCATTACAGAGGCAAACACGGCCAGCAGGGGACCCGAGCTGCGTCCCTTACAGCGGTGGGGTGGACTCAGGGATGAGAGGCCACCTCAGGGCCATGCAACAGAGCGGCCCGGACACTGTGGACGCTGTGGGCTCCGTCCCCTCCAATTTCCCACCCTGCCACGGGCACCGCTGCGTGGTGGACAGAGCTGATAAGGGAGAAACCGGGCCAGGACTGAAGTTAATGCTTTTGGACAAACATCCGCTCCATCTCTAATTCTAATGCTAATTACATTTGCAGATCAAAGGCCACGAAGTTTTGCTTCTGAAAACCAGGCAGAGATTTACTTCCTGTTTGATATTTCTGTTGACTTGGTGGGGACCAGAGGCCAGAGATGGGGGGCCCCGCAGTGTCCTGCAGAGGCCACAAGGGCTGAGTGGTTCCTGCCACCCCTGACCTCCGCTCTGTGACTGTCCGGGCAGGGTGCGGGGATGCATGGTTGCTTGTGCCAGGCCAGTGCAGCTGTGTCCCCTGGAGAAGGCCACACTGTAGAGACAGTGGACATCCACAGCCACCAGAGCCTGGAGGGTCAGACACCTGTGTTCGGGGCTCTTCAGTGCCTGTCTTTGGTCCCAAGCACACCTGTGACTGTGCCGTGGCTGGTGTGGCTCACCGACTACAGACATAGCCACCTGGGGGATGGAGGCCAGCGTGCATAGGGAAATCCCTGACCTTCTTTCCATCTGATCTAAAACCAGCCTAAAAAATGAAATCTTTGCCAAAGGAAGGAGCCCAGGGCCGTCACAACAAGCTGCATCCTTAGCCCGTTAGTATTTTTAAATTTGGAGACAGAGTCTCACTGTATCACTAAGGCTGGGCTTGAACTTGGGATCCTCCTGCCTCAGCCTCTTCCCAGAGCGCTGGGATTCTGGGTTTCACCACCAGATTTGTTTTAACTTTTTTTTTTATATCAGTACTGAGGATTGAACTCACGACTACCTGCTTGCAAGGCAGGCGCTTAAGCCGCTGAGCTAAATCCTCAGCTGGATTTGCTTTAGAAATCTTTCAAGCTAAGCAGAACTGCTTAGGATTGAGCCCAGGGTCCACCCAGAGAGGACGAGGGTTGGGGACGAAGAAGGTGTGCCTGGAGCAGGTGGAGGGAGCAGAGTGGGTGGGGGAGGCGGCTGGGAGCTCAGTGGGGACCCAGTCCCCAAGGCCGATGTCGTGGGGCTGAGGTAGCACCAAGGCCAGGAAAAAGCAGGCTGGGCCAAAGAGCCAGGCAACGTGTGCACCTCCCTCACACGCACCTGCCTCAGTTTCCCCGATGACACCTGGGTGTGCTTCTAAGCAGGCAGGGTGCCTTGGAGCGCACAGCACAAACTGTGCTTGTGCACCTGGGGTGTATTTAATTCCTTTTTTTTCCTTGTGTCACTGCCAGGCAGAAAAACTGTTTCTAACCCATTTATTAATTTATTCCTTCATCCGTCTGTCCATCCATCCATCTGTCCGTCCATCCATCCACCAGAAACCCACAGAGCTGACCTACGAGAATACAGAGACTCTAAGCAAGCGAACCCACAAACCCCAGATGAAACCTTTCCGGCCACAGCAAGCCACCGCAGCAGGAGGACCCCGGGGCCCTCAGAGGCAGCCGGGAGGGCTTCCCAGGGGAGGCTTTGCCGGGACGGCGCCTGGATGGCGGGTGTGACGCTGGGGTGACCTGGGGTGATCTGGGATTTCCCAGAAAAGGCTGCAGAATGACCAGGCCCTGCCCAGAGCTGCCAAGGTAGGGAGGAAGTGGAGCTCTGAGGAGGAGAGGGCCCGGCCCTGTCCTTCCCCCCTGGGCTCCAGCCTCCGCGTGGAGGTTCCCAGGGTCACGGGGACAAAGGCTGTGCACGGTCACACCTACCCAGCAGTCCTGGCTCTGCCAGCGGCCGGCCCTGTGTCCTACTGTGTGTCACGGCTTAGATCCTCGATGTCCCCAGAACTCCTGTGCGTGGAGGGAGGTTCTGGGTGCTGGGTGCTGTGACCTGGCTCCTCCCTGCCCCTAGATGCCGGGGTCAGGCCCTGCCTGCCACGCCATGCCCACCCTGGAGTGGGGACCACGGACTGCACCCCGGAGCCGTGCCTAGCTGGCCGCCCCCTCCTGTCACGTGGCGCTGCTGTTGTGTGACTGACAGGAGACGGACCGCAATGCTGGTGCAGCCACCTGGGCGGCTCCCCACCTTCCTGTCCCTCCCGCAAGCACGGTGGCAGGAGCCCAGCTGTGCCCTGGTGTGCCACTGTGCCACACGCTGCAGCTGGAACCAGGCCCGGGTCCCCCTTCCAGAGCAGGCCCCATTTCTGGATCTTTCCCCCAAAGCCCTACCAGACCTGCTGAGTTCTCCTGGGCTGGGCACTAAAGCTCCAGGCCCACCCTGCCCACGGGCTCCATAGCGGGCTCTGCCACCCACGGACTCCAGTCGCTGCCCTGGGAGGCACACCCCTCTGTTCCAGAATGTTCTTTGGGTATTTCTTCTTTTGGCTGTTTTTGCTACCTCCTCAGAGAAACCTTGGTGCTGGCTCTGTGAGAAGCAGCTCACCTGGGACTCCTGTTTCGACCCTCATGAATAAGGTGATCTGGGACCCCAACCTCAACATCACTTGTACCCAGGGCCCATCTGGTGCTGATGTAGGATCTGCAAGTCACTCATCAAACATGTAGGGAGCTCTTTTGTGAGTAGGTCCCGGGTCACTGGATACAAGAGGCAGACCTCTCTCCCTCAGCCCAGGGAGCTCTGGTCTGTCTGGTGGGGCACCAGACACCTAGGTGGACAAACACCCCAACACCCCAGTGACAAATACCGGTGCCCCAGGAAAGGATAATTGGCCCAGCAAGGTGGAGATCAAGGGAGGGGAGGGCGGGGCCCTGGGGTCTTGGCTCAGGTGCAGGCGGAGGTGCCAGCCCCCGGGAGGCCGCAGGAGGCTGTGACCAGACTTGCTGCTGCCAGAGCCGCAGGGCTCACAGGTGGGGCTCTGCAGACAGCTCAGGAGCCGCCTGCGGATGGGCGAGGCCGCTGCCAGGAATGGGGCCCGGAGCCAAGGCGGGGATGAGACAGCCCACGGAGAGCAGGCTTTCACCTGGAGAGCCAAGGAGACCCCAGGGGCACGGGGAGGGTCGGCGCTGGAGGAGTCAGCCGCTGCCGGTCCTGTTCGGGCCTGCTGGGGGCTTGGGGCAGGGAGAGCCCCAGTGTGGCCCGCGGCTCCAGGCTCCAAACCGGGGAGGGTGGGGAGGGGAGGGTGAGGAGGGGTGAGGAGGAGAGGAAGGGGGGCCTTCCTGCACACCCGGGACAGCTCTGCAGAAGGGGCGCAGTGACCAAGCCTCTGCTGAGCCCTGCCACCCTCCCCAGGGTGCCCTGTGGGCCTCTGTGTGTGTCTGCAGCCTGCACACCCCACACCCAGAGCAAGCGAGGGACAGGGATGTGTCCTACCCGGCGCTGCCGCCCGGTTCAGATCTGCAGGAGGGGGCCAACTGGACCCTTCTGGCTCCTTCTGTCCATCCGGGCCACTCCTTGGGGTTTCTTCATTTCTCCTAAGCAGGACGGAGTCCAGGAACCGTGTGCTGTGACCCTGACCACAGCGTGAGAGCTCAGAGCCCGGCCAGAGCTGATGACTGGCAGTGCCCGCCCCGCCCCTGGGGGCTGGGCTCCGGGGGCACCGTGTCCTCACTGGAGGTCACCGGGTGCCCAGCACCCCCGGGGCTGGAGGCCTGGCCGGGCCTCTTCCCTGACTCCACACTCCAGGCTGCAGCCCGGGGCTCCGGGTGGTGGCACAGACGCCTCGGAGGAAGGCGATCGGTGAGCTGCTCGAGGGACAGGGGCAGCTTGGGGACCTCAGGCCTGCATGGGAGGCCAGCGTCAGAGCGGGGATGCGGAAGGAGCTCCTGCCAGCCCAAAGTGAGGGATGCTGGGTCCACTGCAGCCAGCGTGGAGAACGTGAGCTCTACGTCCCCCGTCGCCGCTCCGAGCCTCCTGGAGAGACCCAGAGGCTGCTCTCCCAGGGGTGGAAGGGGAACCCGGGTCATCAGGAAGGACTCAGAAACACCAAGGGGCAAGGACCGAGCTGGCCCTCCCTCCAGCACCGAGCATTAGTAAAGGGCGGAGCTGTTTCTCACGGGTGAAAGCAACCAGGGTTGGCAGCCCGGCCGGAATCGGCAGCCAGGCCCTCAGTGACGCGGACTTCACGGGGTCGGTGCTGCTTATGATTCAGCGACTTCCCCGTCCAACAGGGCTGCTGGACCTCCTGCTGTCCCCTCTGCATTCCAGGCAAGAGGAAGAGGCACAGGGGTCTGGAGACAGCAAGCCTGTCATCTCAGGAGCGGTCAGGGCAGCAGCCGCCCTTTCCGCACCTGCCTGAGTGTGTGGAACATACTCATGTGGGCACCTAGCTACTGGGGAGAGCGGGTGTCGGGCTGCTCTGGACGGTGGTGCTGGCTGGGGACATTGCCGAGCCTGACTGAGAACAAGGAGAGATTTGCTGATAAATCCCACTAGGGAGCCTGTGCCTCCCTGGACCTTCTGTGTATGTGCGCGCGTGGATGTGTGTTGACTGAAGAATAAAAATTTAAAAGATTGCCAAGTGATTACCAGACGGCCATGAAGGGGAACCTCTCTGCAGAGTCATCCCCCAGGTAGTTGTGACCTCCCCTCCTGCCCACCAGGTAACCAGCCAGGCAGGAGGACCATGTCGAAACAGCACAGGGACGGGGCAGGCAGACAGTTCCCTCACCCGAGGGCCCCTTGCGACCACAGCTGACTCCCATTCTGACTTCCGAAGGAGCAGAGAAAACAGCTGGAGATCTGGCCGGGGAGACCAGGCAGCGACGTGGGACGCGGAGTCTTTCCTGCCGTGGATCTGAGAAGAGGCCAAGAGCAGAGCTGGCGTGGTGGGGCAGCCTGTGATCCCAGCACTCGGAGGCTGAGGCGGGAGGATCTGCAAGTTCCAGGCCAGCCTGAACTGCGCGGTGAGAGCCTGTCCCTCGACCCCAACAAAAAACAGAGAGAGAAAGAAGAGGCGGAGGTGCCTGGCCTGCAGGGTCCACCCCGAGATGCCGGGCAGTTGCCACTCTGTGGATGGCTCTCTGGCTCCTAATTCCAAACAGCGCCTGAGATTAAAACAGTACCAGCAGTAATAGTAACGTCATGGCTGTGTTGTGTCCCCCGTGGCTTTTGTGGGGCAGCAGGAAATTCAAATTTCAGGGATATTAAGGAATTGCTTAGTCCTCTAGGGTCATCGCATCCTTGTGAGATGAAAAAAGTCCTTCTGTCCTGACAATGCGTGTTAAAGTACTGTAATTGAAGCAATGCGGTGTCCAGAGTTCGCCACAAAACACCCCGGGGTGGGGAGAGTGGGGCGGGTGAAGTCAGCAGGCGCCTCCCTGGACGCTCACCTGTGTGTGCCCGTGTATGTGTACTCATGTGTGTGTGCATCTGTGTGTGCCTGTGTGTGTACCCATGTGTGTGCCCCTATGTGTACCCATGTGTCCGTGTGTACCTGTGTGTGTACCCCTGTGTGTGTGCCTGTGTGTGCCCCTGTGTGCCCCTATGTGTACCCGTGTGTATGCCTGTGTGCCCCTGCGTGTGTGTGCCTGTGTGTACCCCTGTGTGTACACCCGTGTGTGTGTGTGTCCTTGTGTGTACCTGTGTGTGTGGGCCTGGGTGCCTGTGTGTGTTGGGCGTGGCGAGTCTTTTTCTTTCTTGGTCCTTGGGGTGCTGGGGCGCTGGGTACTGACCCGGCACAAGCTGATGAGGCTCATCAGGGGACCCCGAGAACCCCTTCCTGCCTGTGTGGCCTTAATATTTGCTCAAAAAGAGACACTAGCAGGGCCAATAATGAAGATCTAACCAGATAACGATAGGACAGAAAATTACAAATACGCCCCAAATTTACCTCCAAATCCTCTAGAAACTGATACCATGAGAGTTAAACTGCTCCGGAGACCAGAAAAGAAGCCAAGCCAAAAGCAAACAAAATAGAACCAGAAAATCTTCTAGAATGTCCTTTAGACACGCAATCCCGCCACTCAAACTGATAAACACCGCAGTAAGCCTTCTAGAAACCATAAAACTACAAATCCGAGCTACTATGATTAAGAATTTGTCTGATGAAGAGAGAAAAGAAGCTTTCCCTTTGCAAGTGCACCTGTTTGCCGTGGCTGTTTTTCAGTGATCGGTCTTTCCAGAACTTTTAACACACTAGGCAAACGTTCGGGCTCAGCCCCACCCTGGCCCCCACACCCCTTTCCCTGTGCCGGGGCCCCCCAAGCTCTCCAGCAGCTGGCACCTGGGGCTCCACAGCCTAGAGTTAGGCAAACAGCCCAGATAACCTGGACCCCAGCGTGAAGGCGGCCTGGAGATCTGAGCCCATGCGGCCCCAGGGCCTTTGCATGTGGGTGCTGCCTCTGCAGGGCTTTCACCGGCTGCTCCCAGAGTCAGGGTTCTCCGTCAGCAGCCACTTAAGGGCACCGACAGCACCCAGCGCCTTCTGCAAGTGAGAAGAAAGAAAATGCACTGAAGGAGTAGCCCTCAGCTTCATCAGAAGAGACGCGTGCTGACTAAGCTGTTTTAAATCCGGGCAAAGGCCATGTCTGCAGCAGGAAAGTCTGTGTGCGGGGACTGCACACCCCTTGTTACCCCCGCTGCACAAGGCATTGCCTCCCCTCCAGACCTGTGCTTTGGACCACGCTCGATACTCTGAGTTCCTGCTGGGTCATTTGGAGCAGCTGCTGCAGCCCTCCAAGGCTGGACAGTGGGGACCCATTTCCAGGGTGGGCCCTGCACGCGGCGCTTGGCAGGAGGCCACGGGTCCCCACAGTGTGGACCTCAGCAGGGCTCAAGGCGTCCTCCCCATGGGTCAACGGATGCTTCCACAGTATGTGGTGGGGTCTCCCTCTGATACACACACGAGGCAGGTGGACGCCAGGTGGTCCCACTGAGAGCTGCCCCAATGACCATGTGGCTCTGGACAGCGGCATGGCCAGCCTCCGGGCTGTAGGGATGGATCCCAGTTTTGGGGGACAGCCTTCCACCTTCCAGGGGGTCCTCTCCTGCCCAGCTGGGGCATCTGGCTGGGGCTGACCCCTGAGGGAGACTACAGACCTTCACCCCATGATTCAGCCATGCAGAGACGAGCCTGTCCCTTGGGGCCTGTGGGCTGCATGGGGGCGGCCTCTCCCCGTCCACGTCCCTCCAGCCCTGCTCCTGGAGTGCACGGCCTGGCAGCTGGTGCTGTCACCTGGCCCTGCAGCCCAGGGCTTGTTGGTGGGACAAAGGGACGTCCTGGGAGCGGGAGGGTGAGTCAGCGGCAGGCACACCCCGCGGTGATGGCTGGGGCTCAGGATTCCCCAGGGCCCAGCCCTGTCCCCTGTAGGATGGGCCTCGAGACCATACACAGCCCCGCCCACTTCCTGCTGGCCTCCGTGGCCACGGGGAGCCCAGGGCTGCTGGGGGGCTTCCTGTGGTGTCCGGAAGGCTCACGCCTCTCTCTCTCTCTCCTGCCATCTGGTTCCAGGCTCAAGCTGGGGTCCCCTGCACGTGGAGTCCCCACTCCGCCCAGCCCCAGCCCGAGCTGGAAGCCGGGGGGCGCTGGGGTTCTGCCACCTGTGTCGCCCTGAGCCTGGGGGAGCGGTGACTCCCAGGGAGCATCGAGAAGCTGGCGACAGCAGCCATGGCCTCGGTGGCCTCAGAGGGACCTGCCTCTCCGCTGGCCATCTGCAGGCTCCCCCTTCCTGGGGGTGGACGTGAGGTGACCACCACTCCCATGCCTTCTGGTCGCCAATCTGCGGGCCTCAATGCCCCCACACAGGCAGTCATCGGCCTGACCAGACACCTCTGCTGTCCCCGTCACTGGCAGAGAGGCTATGGACCGCCACTGCCCGGAGTGGACCACGCCTGACCCTCCACCCTGTCCTTTAGTGATGCAGCTGGGCTGGCACGGCAAGCAGGGACTCAGGTGGGGACTGGCACCTTTGCAGGGGACCCCATGGCCAGGGGACCTGAGCTGATGGCCAGGGACTGTGGCAAGTGGCTGGGCAGGGTCCATTCCTCAGGCTGAATGTCCAGTGTG